TAAAACAATGCTCTTCAATTCAAATTTATTCGGATACAGAACATGAAGACAAACCTGATTTGGTTAATGAAGATAGTATTTATTCCAAGACCAATGATGGTAATATGGACTTTTTTAAGGAAGATTGGCAGGTTTGAAATTCGAAAATCCTAGATGAATTTTTCTTTATTTTTTTGAGCGTGTAAAGTTTAAATGTTTATTCTTGCAGCTAAGCCAATTTTGGGTGAGTTTTATATGGTATTTTCTTGAATTTATATCTTGCATTCTCTTTTTGACTTTATGGTCTTAAGTATTCCAAAGAAACAACTGATGTAATAATTCAAGAAGTTCTAATGCACACAAATGAAATGGATCGAATTGCATGTATTAGCACTCCAACAGTATTTGTCAAACTAAAAGTAAGTTTATTACAGAATCTCAATACATTTTTTTGTTATTAATTTGTATTTTTATTTTATTTATTCATTAGTCGATTACTCCACCTTTAAAACAATCAATCTATCTATTCGAATTTGACACTCGATTCGATATATATGGTTCTGACTTCATTCAATACGACTATAAAACCCCTACCAAATTTCGCGATTGTTCAAAGCTTCGAAATACTTTTGATTTTATTGTAGTAGATCCACCATTCCTGAGTGAAGATTGTTTTACTAAAACCATGATCACTGTTAGATGGCTTGGGAAAAAAGAAACTTGTAAGATTTTGTTGTGTACCGGTAAGAATCCATTTCTTCAATCGTGTATTTAATGTTATTGAGTTAGAGCCTAATTATGACTACTTTAGGTGCTGTTATGCAAGACCTGGCTGATCGATTAATCAAGGCTCGAATGACCTCTTTCTATCCTCAACACCAAGGTGGATTAGCCAACGAATTTCGCTGTTATATCAACTATCAAAGTCAAAATATAAAATTGGTTTCAAAGTCTTGCAAATGATATAACCGAATTGACAGGTCAATGAACTTTCTTTTTGTCTAAGAATATTAAAAATGTCTATATATGTAATTCACATAGTTCACTTGAATAGATTATTAAATTTAGTATGTCCGCTTCTAAGATCAGTTTTAAATACAATTTTGCAACTCTAATTGTCCGGGCGTATAAAACACCACTTTCTCACGTGATCGAGCACTAATACAACTAATACACTCATTTCTATTTAGTTTTTTTTTTTTTTTTTTTAT